CACGAGCTAAAAAATCTGGGTTATGACCTAAAAAATCTAGTTCTTGACCTAAAAAATCTCGGTCACGAGTTAAAAAATCTAGGTCATGACCTAAAAAATCTAGGTCATGACCTAGATTTTTTAGATTTTTGTAGGTCATGACCTAGATTTTTTAGGTCATGACCTAGATTTTTTAACTCGTGACCTAGATTTTTTAGGTCAAGAACTAGATTTTTTAGGTCATAACCTAGATTTTTTAGCTCGTGACCTAGATTTTTTTAGGTCACGACCTAGATTTTTTAGGTCATGACCTAGATTTTTTAGATTTTTTTAGGTCATGACCTAGATTTTTTTGGGTCATGACCTAGATTTTTTTAGGTCATGACCTAGATTTTTTAACCTTGGAAAAATAGCAGGGCCGCCCCTTCATCTTTTACGGTATGTAAAATTAGTCAAGTTTGAGGAACGAGATTAAAACTAGCAAACATTCTGGAAAATCAAATTTTCAAAATAATTTTTTTAACATTTTCGTTGGAGCAATATTTTTTCAGCAAAATCCATTGGAAATAAAATATTTGAACAGAAAAAAATGTATTTTTAGTAAACAGTTTTATTTTTTAATCAAATGAAAAATATGAGAAATTGAGAAAAAACATTGATCAAATGTTGAAAATTCTCCAAAAAATTTCATAGATTATTCATACAAGAATTGTATACTGAGAAAAAAGTTGAGAATGAATATTGAGCATACTGTAGAATAAAAAATTCAAAAAATTTTTATGATTGCTATTACTATTTTACCAGAAGAGTATTGTCGTCGCCAGGCGGCTTGAGTTTTTCCGTGAACTTGTCAACCTACTTTGGAGAACAGAGAACAACCTAAATGCTCCTAAACAGAGGTTTTTGTAGACTCATGACCTCAATTTTTTATATTATCAAAATCAAAATGGACGGGCATCATCTCGCTGCTATTTCGAATTTTCTGTGAAAATTTGTGAAATTTTGGTCCAGTAGGGACTTCGCTAGGTTACGCCAACCGGGAACAAACGGACACACTCACACACAGAATTTGGTGATTGTTAAAGGAGGCCAGACACCAAAAAAAAAGTTTTCCTGATATTTTGCATAGAGAACCCCCATGAGGGGTTGAACTCATGACAGGCAGCTCAGGGGTACAGCGCCGCTACCGGCTGAGCTACGGGGGCGCAAAGGCGCCTGACGACCGATGGTCTACATAAGCGCGGCGCGATTTCGTCCCCCGAACTGTCTCCCGAAATTGTTGCTGTCTCGCCTCCTTTAATAGCAAAGATACGATAATAATTTTGTCTGTTGAAAAATGCATTCTCAAATTATAGAAATTATGAAACCGAGATAATACTTTTTAATTATTGTTATCATTTGTCGTAATGGTGCTTGCAGAAACTACAGTATGCTTTAAATAAAGGAGAAAGAAATTGAATTTGAAAGTACTCTTGGAAATTTGATACGAATTGTAAACAGTAGAAATTCGATTATTCAGAGGGATTTTTCGGGAATTTCCGTTTGGAATTTTCAGAAATCAGAAAAATGTCATATTAATGAAATGGGACTGTTTCAAAGAAAAAAAATACAGATTTCTCTAGGAATTACAGAAAAAAACGAGGTATGAACATTGAAAAAAAAATAAGTGGAATTTTTAATATGACTGGTGAAACCGTAACTTGAAAAAAAACGTGAACTTCTTGAAGAATGAGCTACACGGTCAACAAATTTAGCTACTCGGTCCACCGGCTCAGCTACCTCCGTCGACTTGCCAGAGCTCGTCCCATGTGTCCTGAGCAGTTCGGATGTTGACAAAGACATTTGATTTTTCTGGACCTGAAATTTTTTTTTTGTAATATTGATTTTCGATTTTTGTCGGTGTGCAATTCAGAAATTGGAAAAAAACAATTCCAAAAAATTTTCAGACCATTTTGAAACAGTATTTTTTTCAAAAATTCCAAGTTGATTTTCTAATTTTTTATAATTTCAAATTTCAAATTTCCCGCCAAAAAAGACTCACTCATCCTCATCAAAATTGTAGTCGATCGTCAACTCCTCCCCCTTTTTAATCCGTCGTTCAGCAAAAAATCCAAGAGCCACAAATCCCTCAATCTTCCCATCCAATTGCCATTTTTCGGTCCTCATATTGAAATTACAGGCATAATTTGAGTATTTTGCAGGATTCCCTCTCTCCGTGGCATCGATGTAGAATGGTCCGGATTTATAGATATATGGAAAAGTCTTGCTCTTTTTGTAGTTCAGAATCCTCATCTTGTATTCATTGGAACTGATGACGTCTCCAGTGAAGGCAATCACGAAGTCATCTTTTTTGATGTCAAATGCAGCGAATAGTCCGAATCCCTTTGAGACGGTGTGAGATACAGAAACCTTGCTAACGTCGTTGGCCTTGAAATTTTGGTTTTTGCAGTTTCCAGCGCAGGAGGATGGGCACTCCATGTGGTACAAAGCATTCTCGCACACCTTGGCGCAGGATGAGGAGCAACTGGAATACAAACTGATGTATCTCGGGAACCAATTTAGCTAGCAAAAATTGTTAAATACAAAATTCTTTGGCATAAAATTTTACACATTTTGTTTGTTAACCTTTTTTTTATTGCTTTGGGCTGAAAAGAGATAGACCGTTACAAAGTTAGAGGGTGCAGACTCTCTTCTAGGATGCCTATTCTTGAAACGCTTATATCTTATTAACCAAATCAGCTTGCAAAAAGCTGTTAACTGCAAAATTACTCAGCATAAAATTCTACACATTTTATTAGTTGACTAAATTTCGATAACTTTTGTCCCAAAAGAGATAGAGCAGTACAAAGTCGGAGGGTGTAGACTCCTCGGAGCACATCCTAGCGCGCCTAGTCTTAAAACGTTGATATCTCAACAGGCAACAGAAATATCAAAAATGTTTAATTATAAAATTGCTCAACATAAAAATCTACACATTTTTTTAGTTGACAAAATTTTAATAGCTTCAGTGCAAAAAGAAGATAGAGCGTTACAAAGTTGGAGGGTGCATCCATAGCGCTCACTTTGATATTATATGTAGAGCGCATGGTCTTGAAATGCTCCTGTCTCATCAACTAACTTAGCTAGCGAAAATTGCTAACTACCAAATTGCTCAGCATAAAAGTCTAGAGCGTTTTTAAGTTGGAGGATGCAGACACCTCCGCGCACTTCATAGCGCGCACTAGCTTAAAACGCGTATTTCTCCTAAATCAATTTAGTAAGCAAAAAATGACATTTTACAATATTACTCAGCATAAAATTTTACAAATTTTTTTAGTTGACCAAGTTTCAATAACTTCAGTCTGAAACAAGATAGAGCATTACAGAGTTAGAGGGTGCAGACTCCTCTATGCACTTTGTAGCGCGCAAGGATTTTAAACGTTCATATCTCAGTAACCAATTGAGCTAGCAAAAAGTTGTCAACTACAAAATTGCTCAACATAAAATTTCACACATTTTGTTAGTTGACACAATTTTAGTAGCCCTAGCCCAAAAAAGAGATATAGGCTATATCATATAGCGTTTCAAATATTTTCAAGCTTCCCTGTGTCTGTTCATCCAGATGTCCACTAGCTCACCTTTCAATTTTCACTTTTTTCAGCTTCAGATCATCAAGAGACTTGTGGAATTTGTAGTTGCATTTGTGATTTTTTGGAATTTTAATTTTTCGAGTTTTCGTGTTTTGGGTTCCCAATGATTTCCGAGGAGCGCACATTTTGGAAAATTGGAAGATTTAAGAAATCCTTGAAAAAGAGAAAGTTGAAAATTTTAAGACAAAATAAAAGGAAAAAAATAGGTTAAAATCTAGAAAAAACTACAATTTTCATAATGAAATTTTTCAAAAAATCTAGGAAAAAAAAATGGCCAGGTGATGGGAAAAATAAGAAATTTCCCTCTTTTTTGGCTAAATGTCATATTTGCATTTGCTAAGGAGAATAGAAAAAACGGTTTTTTTTAATGGTGGGAAAGTGCAGAAAATGGGAATTTTTTTGATTTTTTTTTATTTGAGGGAAATACAAAAAAAATTATATGAGCAAATTTTTAAAAAATTATGGGAGAAGTTGTAGTTTTTTAATTGCAAAAATGAACTTTTTGAAATAACTTTTTTTTCGAAAATTCAGAAACTTTTTGAATAAATGACATAATGGGGAACCGATAAACGGAAGTTTATCCAAAAAAATTACATAGAATATGATAATTTTGATAATAAAATATTCAAATCATGAGAAAAAAGTACGTTTCTTTTGAGCTCAATTATCTCAAGTCCTATAAAAGATATCAAAAATTGGTCAACTGATAAAAGGACTATCTTAAAATTTGACACATTTTATCAGTTGATAACTTTTTAATATCTTTTATAGGAATTGAGAAAATGCGGTTTGAAGTTAGGGCCGCATAGTGCCGTCAATAGGTCGCCACTGACCGCCAAAATTTAAGATTTTTCTCAATTTCTGTGATAGATATCAAAAAATTGTCAACTGATAAAATAATTACCATAAACGTTTACACATTTTATCAATTGACTACTTTTTGATATCTTCTACAGTATCCGAGATAATTGAGCTCAAAGTAGATGGTATGGGTAGGCTTCTATTAGAGGCCCAAAATTAACAGAATGCAAACATCACAGGTCCTTTGAGCTTAATTATCTCGATTCCTGTAAAAGATACCGTAAAACCTCTAATAGAACGACACCCGGATCGTCCACTTTGAGCCTATATATCTCATTTTCTGTGAAAGATATCAAAAAGTGGCTAACTAGTAAAATGTTGCTGATATCCTGATAAACATTTTACTAGTTAACCACTTTTTAATATCTTTCAAAAGAAGTGAGATATATAGGCTCAAAGTGGACGATCCGGGTGTCGTTCTATTAGAGGTTTTACGGTATCCAAATTTTGTCAACTGATAAAATGTGTAAAATTTTAAGATGATTGTTTTATCAGTTGACCATTTTTTAAATATCTTTTACAGAAGTTGCTATTTAAAAAAGGCGTTAAAAATTGTCAACTTATAAAACAATTTTCATGCAATTTTACACATTTTATTAGTTGACAACTTTTTAATATCTTTTACAGAAATTAAGAAAAATTGCCTTGAAGTTAGGAGCCGCCAATAGGCCGCCAGTGATCCGTCGCAGCCAAACGAGCCGCCAATAGGTCGTTGGGTTAAAAAAGGAATAGTTGGAAACTTTGGGTTACTGTAGTTTTTTTGTATTAGAATTCTTTTTTTGTATTAGAATTCTTGCTTTCTATTATAATTCTTTAACTAATCTGGCCTTAACAAAAAAACCAAAAATTCTGAAATCAGAAAAAAATACTGTTTCCAATTTATTTAAAAATTCCAGAAGCTCAATTAATCTTTGCTTCTTTAATGTCCAGTTGTAGCAGTAGTACAAAAAAGCCCAAAAGAGGAAAAATTTTAACGGGGTCGGAAACTTGACAGTCGAGCTTCAGACCCCAGAAAATGATTGAAAATCAACAGGACAATAAGGGGTACTGTACAAATGCAAGGGGGCGGAGTCAAAGTTTTTTTTTCCAAGGCTCATCTGCTCTCATTAACTAAGTTGGTATAAACATTTGTGATGGTCACTTGATACTTTTACAACCACTTCCTCCTGCTTACGCCTTCCTTTTCCTTTAAGCGGCCGGGCGGCGGGCGGCCGCCCGACAGGCATCCGTCCAGCAGACATGGTTCTTTCGGTGAGAAGCAGTTAATATAAACAAATGTTGCGGTAATTAGTACAATACTGAACGCCACGTGGACCTTCTTTGGGGAACTTCATGAAATTTTAGTTACAGTAACCCCTTATCTAACTTTTCAATTATCTCTTTTCCGATGAGACCTATCAAAAAGTGGTCAACTGATAAAACAATTTTCATAAAATTTTAAACATTTTATCAGTTACTAAGTTTTTGATATCTTTTACAAGAAATGAGATATATGGATTCAAAGTGGATGTTGTTCTTTCCCTTAACTCTTCATGAAGAAAAAAATACGTTTTCTTCAGACTCAATTATCTCGGTTCCTATGTTAGCTATCAAAAAGTGATTAACAGATAAAATGATTGTCATACAATTTCACACATTTTATCAGTTGACCACTTTTTGATATCATTCCCAGGAATTGAGATAAATTTCAAGAATCAGAATGAGGCCGGTTTGCACCAATTACTCTCCAGTAAGTCGGTTTTATAATCTAAAAATTTTTTAAAAATTTTAATTTTTGAATTTTTTCCAGAACTTCCATCAGACGAAGAGTTGGCACAAGCAAAGAGAGAATCTGTACGTGGCGCTGAGAACGACGAATACGATGAGGACATGGAGATTCCGGAAGACGAGGAAGAGGAAGAGCAGGGACCGTCGGAGCCACGGGGACCGCAGCGGCAGGTGGTTGTTGATGAGGATGGATGGACGACGATTACGAAACTACAATAATGCCTTTAAAATTCATTTTTGGGGTTTTCGCACCTTTTTTCATCGTTTTTTTGCTCTGAAATTTTCCATTTTCTCCAGTTTCTGCTGTCTAAAATTGTTTTTTCGGGGTCTTTTTTGTTGAAAAATGATAATTTTCACTGCTTTTTGAAGTTTTGGGACCTTTTCATGGTGTTTTGTCCCAAAATTTGAATTTCCGAGGGCTTTCTGCTCAAAAACCGTCTATTTTCCCTGGTTGTCCCGCCTAAAAGTGAATTTTTTGATGTTTTGGGACCTAAAAATTTGAATTTTTGGGTTGTTTACTGGGACCATTCTGTAGTTTTCTTTTTTCGACATTTTTAGTGTTCAGATTTTTTGATAAAATTCTTTGGTTAATTTTCAGATGTTTTTAAGATTTTTCGGCGAATTTCGTTTTTTCTCGATTTTCAGAATTTCTTATATCTTTCACTATTTTTCTAGTATTTTCAATTTTTCAGGATTTTAGATTTTCGGAATTTCAAACATTTTCAGCGATTTTCTTTGTATTTTTTGTGTTATTTTATTTTTTCAAAAACTTCATGAAATTGCACAAAATAGCATTTTTGCGTTGTTTTTTGATTATAAAAAAAGTTTTATCAGACGAATTAAAAATTAATTTATAGAAAATGTAGAGAAAATAAATGCGGTTTTTTTGAGCTATATATATTTATTTATTTGCAATGCATGGGGAAATCAATAGATATTTGGCAAGAAATGGGACATGAACAAATAAAAAAGTAAAATGACCAGACGGACCGACTAGAGTCCTGTAGGTCAAGTGGGAGGGATCAGAATATCATAAGGATCGCCCCTACTCGCTTAGCAAACGCCACCGGACTGAGCTTAGAATTTATCACCTTACATACACGGTTCCACATAAGTTTCTGTGAAGGAAGCAGTCAAAGTATTGACCGTTGATTTTGAACAAATACGGGGCTCTGTTAGAATGGCTGGGAAGAATGTAGGACGACATAGAGGGAAAATGGTATGAGTTTATAACAATTTTGTGATAGGTACGAAGAACTAGAAGGGTGCGGCGATGAAGGGTGGTTAGCATAGAGAACTGGGATAGGCGATCGGTGTATGAATTGAAGGGCATATTACATCTCTGAAAGACTTTTCTGGTGAAATAACGAAGAGGAGATTCTAGTTTATTGGCAAGTGTGGCATTGGATGGATCGAAAAGTTCACAACCGTATTCGAGGACCGGTCTAATGTAGGTGTCGAAGAGACGGAAATATAAACAAGGGTTTTTCGATTGGAACGTTTTCAGTATTTGGCGGGACTTGAGTTTAGCAGAGTAGGCAATAAGATTGATGTGTTTGTCGAATTGAAGTTGATCATCAACTAGTATACCTAGATCCTTGAATGAGCGATGCGGAGTAATGGGGGATCCCTTAATAAGGTAAACTGTCTTAGGATTGCGTTTACCATAATGCATAACGGCCGTCTTATTTTCGGCTAGTTTGAGTCTCCAGATGTCACACCAGTGCTCTACGATTTCGATACTTCTCTGCATATCCAATGGGTCGGAACCGGTTATTTTTAGGTCGTCGGCGAACGCCGTGACATGAACATTGGGAGGAAAGAGGCCGAGTAAGTCGTTAATGTAGATCAGAAACAAAAAGGGACCAGTGACACTTCCTTGGGGGACTCCGGATTTGACAACAATCTCGCTGGTTGACATTAGGCCATTAACCTTGACGTTGGATGAGCGGTTGCTGAGAAAGGACTCGAACCAGACGCAGCATCGTTCATCAATACCTATACGCCTCATTTTCAGCAGCAAGAGATTGTGTGGGACAGTGTCGAATGCCTTGCGAAAATCAAAGTAAATAACATTTACGAATTGTTGCTTATTTGCTAAGGTTTTCTGTATTCTGGAAGTGGACTCAAGGACGGCTAGAACACAGGATCGCTTACTGACGAATCCGTATTGATTCGGAGAAATACTCGGACCGATAACACGTTTTAGCTCTTCAAGGACTATAGAACTCTTAGAAACGTCAAAAACTGAAAGAGGAGATAGATTTTTTCTGTAAAAAAACTTTCAAAATGACCATTCTTGACATTTTTTCTTCCGGAAAACGACCATACATGAATCTATAACCACTAATTAATTTTTTTTAAATCATTTGAATCATCTTGGAACTCCACAAAATCAGATAAAAAATTCTGAAATTATGGTTTTAGACCTGCAATTGTGATCGCGCCAAACTTTTCTTCTGTAGATCAAAAATTAATTTGCAGTTCGGAATTGTGGGGGTACGACGAATTCGAACGTTTTCAAATTCGAACAGACCTAAAATCGAACTGATTCTAAAATCGAACTGACAAATTGGAACGCTGCCTGCAACAGAGCGCGCATGAAAGCACACACAAAACAGCGTTCCAATTTGGGACAGTTCGACTCCTTACCAGTTCGAACTTGTAACAGTTCGATTCTGTCCGCGTTCTGTTCTGGTACGTGTGCGAAAAAAGGACTGTTCTGAATTGAATCTGTTCGATTTTGTAAACGTTCGAATTCGTCGTACCCCCCCCCCCCCCAGGCGAGTTCTCGGCTCGTTTTTCTCCAGTCATTTTTAGGCTTTTGTCTCCTGAAAATTTCTGAAAAAGCTAATTCTAAATATATATCGAAGATAATTGAAAAAGCGAAAAAAATGTTGTTATTAAATATATCAACAAAAAAAAAAGGAACAGGGTTAACAAACAGAACAAACAAGGGATAATTTGAAAAGAAAAACCATACTTTTCAACCGGAAAATTCAAATTCAAATTTTAGGACAAAAGAAACGATGAAAAAATCTCCAAAAACAGCGAAAATTCGTTGAAAATTGGCAATTTCAAGCGAAAAAAACCTGGAAAAACGATTTCAGACAGTAAAAAACCCAGAAAATTCAAATTTTTAGGTCCCAAAACATCAAAAATTCACTTTAAGGCGGTCCACAACCAGGGAAAATAGAATTTTTAAGCAAAAAAAACCTTGAAAATTCAAATTTTGTGACAAAAATCAATGATAAAAGGCCCTAAAACCCCAAAAATTCAAATTTTGGGACGAAAAACCTGCAACAAAGCCCCCGAAAAAACGATTATAAACAGCAGAAAATGGAGAAAATGAAGTTTCAGAGCAAAAAAAAACGAGAAAATTCAATTTTCAGGTCCCAAAACACTAAAAATGAATTTTAAAAGGATTTATTGTCGTTTCGTAATCGTTGTCCATCCATCCTCATCAACAACCACCTGCCGCTGCGGTTCACGTGGCTCCGACGGTCCCTGCTCTTCCTCTTCCTCTTCTTCCGGAATCTCCATGTCCTCATCGTCTTCGTCGTTCTCAGCGCCACGTACAGATTCTCTCTTTGCTTGTGCCAACTCTTCGTCTGATGGAAGTTCTGGAAAAAATTCAAAAATTAGAATTTTTTAAAAACTTTTAGATTAAAAAACCGACTTACTGGAGAGTAATTGCTGCAAACCGGCCTCATTCTGATTCTTAATGTATCCAAAGCCTTCTAGAAGGAAAAACGCGATTTGATAGCTCGAATCGTCCTCTAGAATCAGGTCAAAGTCGTGATAGAGGATGTTTGTGAGCCACTCTTCGAGGTCCTCGGCTTTTAGACCTCTCGACGTTGTCATTTGCTCGCAAAGGACGTCTAGAAACCACTTGTCCTTCTCTCTTGTCTCATCGCCACCACAAGAGTTGTCCAGGGCGAGCTGATAGCCACTCCAGGATTTGAGCGTTCTGGCGGTGAAATTTCGAAGGATTTCCATGTTGATATTCATTTTTGGCTGAAAAAAAAGAATGTTTTTCGCGAACAATTGCGAAAAACAGTGAAAAAAGAGACATTTTCCCTGAAAATTCCCGATTTAAATTTTTTATCGTCAACTACGGTAGACGAGTCCGCAAACACACCTCCACTACCATTACACTTCGTCACGAGACCCGCCTTGGCACACTGCCAGCCGTGCACGCAACGCGCACGCAACGCATCAGATTTGAAGGTGCGATTTACGGAGTCGACTTCGCTTATCATTTTTATCTCGAATTTCACAGTTTTCCGCGATTTTTCTCACTAAATTAATGATTTAGATCATTTTCTATCGAATTCTAGCGGCAGATATGATAGGGAGTGGCTGCGAAACCCGAGAAACCCGATTTCCGGAGGGCTGTGAAAATTTGAAAAATCGCTTTGAAAAAAATGTTCCAACAGGCTTACAGCCGGTTTTTTGTGCTTAAAATAATCTAAATGGATAGTGCAATGTAAATTGCCCAGAAAATTTTCAAAAATTCGCTCAGAAAGTTGTCGGTATTTTTTTGAATTTTCACTGAGCTGAATTTTCGAAAAAGATAGTTTCCCTTCTTTTTCTAGTATTTTCTTTTCATATTCTTCATTTTCAGCCGATTCTCGATTTTTTGATACCAAAAACTCCCAAAATATGTCGAAAATGACCCCTTTTTTGAATTTTATCGATTTTTCGCTACTTTGAAAAAATCTCTCTCTTTCCATCCTGATTTTCCCCTTTTCCTTTCATTTTCATTGTTATTTATGGCAACTAGTCCATTTTTTACCTATTTTCGTTAGAAAAATGCCAAAGGTTCACATTTTCGATGATTTTTGCTTTTTTCCGGATTTTTTTTTCGAGTTTGTCTCCTTTTCCTTGTGTATGACGAAGTTTTTGAGTTTTAGGTTCAGTTCCGAGATGTATAAGGGCTGAAAACCCCAAAAATCACTTGAAAACACAGGAAACAGCCAAAACATTTTTGGCGGGAAAATAGAAAATTTAAATTTTAAGTTTGGAAAACTGAGTTCTAACCGCAAATTTAGTCAATTTTCTTCCTTTTTTCGCCATTTTCTCTTCATAATTCCTCCATTCCCTCAGAAAATTCCGATTTTTCCAGGTCTGTTCAAATATTGCATGAAAGTGAATCTCTAAAAGCGACCATCTCTCCGACAACCAACTGAGGAACCATCGAAAAAGATGGAAGAAGGTGGAGAGCAAGGACTCCCACCGAACGAGGAGCTCTTTCAGGAGCAACAAGTTGAGCCAGAACCGATGGAGCAAGATCCAGTAGTTGCAGGTAGGAAAATCTTCAAATTTCATGAATTTTAACCTGGAAAATAGGGCAATATTTGAAGTTGAGCATAAAATATTGGAGAAAAACTGATTTTTGAACTGGAAAATGGAAAAAATTCAATTTTCAGAGCCAATCGTCGAGCCAGGAGTGCCAGAAGGATCAGAAGCGGTCAACGAGGAGCCCGAACAGGCTCAATTCCAAGAGATCGCTGCTGAGCAACACGATGATACGATAGAAGCCACGTTCCGTCGACACGACGACTATGCAGAGCCATTTTTCATGCCCACGGCGTATGTGGCTCCACAAGACGGAGAGCAAGAGGCTTATGGAGATCGGGAGAATGGAAACGGCGATGGAGCACATAGAAATGAAGTGGATAACACGGAGCACACGATTTGGATCGACTCGGATGAAGATCATGATCCGGAGGAGGAGATATTGAAGGCCAATTTTTATTTGCCCTACAGTGTAAGTGCCTGAAAAGCCGAATAGTGGAAATTAGCACATTCTAGAAGTTCTAGATGGGTTCGCTGGCTGTTAGGGTATTTTTGATCTAAATTTTGAGCTCACAAGCTAAACTAGCAACGTCTAGAGGTATTTCCAGCTCCCAATAATCCTTTTTTTGATGAAATCCTTCTCAAAATCTGTAATTTGAACTAATTATCATATTCGGAAGGTTCTGGAACGCTAGGAAATAGATCTAAAATTAGCAATTTTCTAGTTTGTAGTCTGTTCTGGAGCTCAGAAGTTGAAAAAATGACCTTTTTAACCATCTAAAACAATTCCAACCCCTAATTTTCCTTATTTCCAGGATCACAACTACGATCCACCGGATCCAACAGAACGTGTCATTCATCCACAAGAAGGGCCATTCATGGTGATCGATGGACTTGACGAGGAGGGAAACATCCGTAATATGTGGATGCCAGACGGCTACGGGCCACCGCATCGTCCACGTTCGGTGCAAGAAGAGGAGCCAGCTCAGCAACAACAGCTTCACGATCAGCAGCTTGCTCAGCCCCAGCAGCCACAATACACTACACATCCAGCTGTACAACAGCAGCAGCAACAGCACCTAGTCGCTCCGATGCGTCAGAATATGCAACAGTTGTCGGCGGCCGGACGACCAGTGGTTGCTGCTCAGCCATTCTCGATTGGTGGCAATCAAGTGGAATATGCGGATTCCATGCAGAGAATGCCATCGAGAGGGTAGGTTTTGGCTTGGAAAATGGGGCTGAAATAGCTGAAAATAGCGGGAATAGCTAATTTCTGAGCATTCAGGCTCTATTTTCACGACTTCTGAGCATAAAAAGCGCTTTAAAGGACCAATTGGGCTGAAATACATCAAATTTGCTTTAAAAAAAACCATTTTCTGAAGGATTCTGGCTCCACTTTTAAGACTTCTAAGCACAAAAAGCGCTAAAAGTACCGAAATGTGAAGTTTGTGACGTGAAAAAAGTGCTGAAATAGCTTAAAATCTGATTTTTGACGCTATTTTTACGATATTTGAGATCTAGAAAACGTTAAAAAAGAGCTAAAAGTTCCAATTTTGCAGAATTCCCATCACAACTGGTCAAACCCAATATCGTGTGGTCAGTGAGTACGGTGGAACGACATCGTCTCCAATGGCTCCTCAAGGTGCTCTCCGCGGAACCACGATGCCACGTGGCACGCCAACCGCCACAATCATCAGAGGAAATCAACCGATCTACCAATCGCCAGCTCAACGGGTTGCTCCAGCTCCAGTTTCAGCGTCACGTAATCTTCCACCAGCTCAACCGACTCCTGGATCCTATCAGCATATTTCAAATCCAATCGGAGGCCAAGTCAGACGTCTTCCACCCGGAATGAAGCCGTTGGGTGCTGCTGGAATCGTTGCCGGGCCTGGGATCCTTCGCCAGACTCCACAGACTCGTCCTATCAATGTTACACGTCCGCTACTGGAAGGAGGAGGTACAGATACTTACGATTCGCCTTCTACTGCACCACCACCACCCCCGGTTCGTCGCATCGCTGACGTGGCACCGCATCGGATGACTCAGGAGCAACGACAGGAGCAACAATTGATGAATCGACAGAGACCACAGTTCCCACTGAGAGCTGGCATGACTGTTGGGCCGGGTAACCGAGGTACCACACTGCCTACAGTAATCCCAGGACGTGGAAGAATTGCTTCAAGCTCTGAGGATCTTCTTCGTTCGCCGCAACGTGGCCAGCCGATTCTGGAGCGTAAATTCCAGTTTAAACCTGTATCCATGCAACCGACGCCTGTGGAGCACACCTATTCGACTCCTGTGCCAAAGGCTAGTGATCAGCTTCCAGCTCAATTGACAGAAGATCTACCTGAGGACCAACCAACGTCGTCTAGCGCTGTCGCTGCTCCAGAAAGTGAAATCGCAGAGGAGGTTAAACCAGAAGTCAAGTCGCCGACTCGTCTGCCAGGATCCACGTCGCCAATGAAACATCAAATCGGAGGAATGCAGAAGCCAACGCCACCGCATCGTATGTCACAGGAGGAGAAGAATGCGCATTTCGCCAAGTTGCATCCGGATAAGGTGAGAAATCTAGAAGTTTTGGGCTAAAATAGAGGTTTCTGCTCTGAAAAACCTTATTTTCCCATGGATTTTGAGCTCGAGACCCAACGAAAACCATAAATTTCAGGTTTTTGGGCTGAAATTTGATTCTGGGAGGTTTCTTACCTGAACAATCCACTTTTTAATGAATTTCAAGCTCCGGGCCCTTTAAAACCTGCTAAATTTCAAGTTTTTGAACTGAAATTTGATCCAATGAGGTTCCTGATCGAAAAACTGCGATTTTCTCGTGTATTTTGAGCTCCAGACCCTTTAAAATCTCTAAAATTCGTCCTTTTTTTTGTCGATTTGAAGATGAATTTTGAGCTCCGAGACCGTTTAAACACTCCAATTTTTTCTTTTTCCAGGACAAACCAGCGACTCCACAACAACAGCTTCCGACGTCTTCTGCTTCTGGCACTCCAACCCATCCATCTCAGTCCCCAGCCAATATCCACACCCTGCCACCGCACCATCACGCTCATCCACATCATCATCAGCCAACACCAGTCGTCGCTCCACTATCCCGTCTTCCGCCACATCATCAGGACGACACGCTCGCCGTGGTACAGTCCGTGTTCGAATCCAACGCTCCACGTCAACCGGACACTCCGAAAGACAAGGAGGCCATTTCCAAGATCGCGGATCAATTGAGATTCAGCGCTGACGCGTTCACCGGGGCAGCTGGCTCGTCTGGCGATGGCTCACGTCTCCGAACGACTTCAGGAGGTCGTTATCAGCAACAACAGATGATGTATCACGATGAGGGAAGAAAGCGGCAGTTGTCTGGAGGGCGATACGATGGTGGGAATAATATGATGATGAGATCTTTGCCACCCACCGATAATTCTCCATTGATGCGTCACCCGGAAGCAATGTTGGAGCCGCCACATCGTCAGCGAGGAAGGCCACGTGGATCTACTGGTCCTCAGAATCCAGGAAGACGTTGGCCAGAAGGACAGGAGCCAATTGCTCCGCATAGAGCCGCAGGAGGAGCCAGAACGTTGCCACCGAGGAACCAAGAAGCTCCACCGCCACCAACTGGACGTAATGGAGGAGCGCAGAATTCGGATTCAGAATCCGACGGCGTTGGCGATGGCGAGAGCTGGACGATGCGATGCCATTGTGAAATGGATCATGGAGACGGTGATACAGTCGAGTGCGAGGGATGCAAGGCGTGGCAGCATATGGCCTGCATGGGTCTGACGCCGAAAAGCAACACGGAAATGTACAAATGTGAACTGTGCGCGCCGCGAAAGCTGCCGATCACCAGGGCGGAGGCTCGAAAGGTGCAGAAAAAGCTGCTGGACGCGTTGGCTCGAGCGACAGAGATGGAGAAGAAGAAGAAGGGTAGAAAGAGCGATCCGACGGAAGCGAAGAAGCAGATTCAGGTAGGATATAGCGACAAAATGGCCTAGAAATGGCTCAATTTTATCTGAAAATCGCTAGAAATGGACCGATTTGAGCTAAAAAATTGCTAAAAATGATTCATTTTGAGCTGAAAATCGCTAGCATTGGATTAAATTGAGCTGAAAACCGCCAGGGATGACCCAATTTGAGCTGAAAATCGTTAGAAATCTATCAAAATGAGCTGAAAATCGCTAGAAATCTATCAAAATGAGCTGAAAATCGCTAGAAATGAATCAGATTAAGCTAAAAATCGCTGGAAACTTGTGAAATTTGGTCCTGGACCTACCGTAGGAAATGGAGCTAAATTCAGCTCCAAAAAGCCAGAATGACCTAGAAATGACTTAAATTAAGCTGAAAATCGCTAGAAATAGGTCAAATTGAGCTGGAAATCGCTAGAAATGGACCTAAACTTAAGCTGAAACTTTGCTGGAAAGTTGTGAGATTTGGTCCGGGACCTACCGTAGGAAATAGAGCAAAATTCAGCTCCAAAAGCCAGAATGGCCTGGAAATGGGTCAATTTGAGCTAAAAATCGCTAGAAATAGGTCAAATTGAGCTGAAAATCGCTAGAAATCTATCAAATTAAGCAGAAAATCGCTAGAAATGGATCAGATTAAGCTGAAAATCGCTGGAAAGTTGTGAGATTTGGTCCTGGGCCTACCGTAGGAAATTGAGCAAAATTCAGCTCCAAAAAACAAGAATGACCTAGGAATGGGTCAATTTGAGCTGAAAATCTCTAGAAGTGAGCAATCTCCGCCCCCCCTTCTTATCGATTTCCACAATTCGAATTCCCTTCGCGCCACACACACAGAACTTTTATTCATCGTTACCTTTGCCGTCCCCATCTATAACACACATACCATCTCTTTGACCTACACTCTCTCTCTCCTCGTTATGTTTTGTTTCTTTTCTCGCACTCTGGTGCTAGCACATGATACACGCAGACAGACAAAGAAAAAGAAGGCAAAGCAAGCCCCATCCATTCATTTGAATGAGTTTCCTCTGATCAATAGGTTTCTCTATTTTTCTTCTGTTCTCCGTTCTAGCTGCGCGTTCGAAGATATGACGAAGAAGGTTTGTTAGGGATTTTGGAGCTAGAAGTTAGCTCATTCTATAGTTTATAGCCAGTTCTGGAGCTCCAGAGTCATCAGAATCGATTCTGTAGTTTGTAGTCTGTTCTGGAACTCTGTAGCTCGAAATACACTGTCTAGGGGGCATCAAGTGCAGCTAGGAAGATCTAGAACCAGCGATTCTGTAGTTTATAGTCGGTTCTCGAGCTTAGAAGTTGAAAATAGCTGTTTGGATCCATCAGAATTGATTCAGAAGATTCAGAAAGATAAATTCTGTAGCTTGTAGCCTATTCTGGAGCTCAGAAGTTGGAAAAATCTGTCCGGAGTCTTCTGAATCGATTAGGAAGATCTAGAATCAACAATTATGTAATTTGCAGTCTGTTTCGGAGCTCTGGAGTCGTCAGAACCGATTGAGAAGACCTAGAATCCCTGAATCAGCGATTTTGTAGTTTGTAGTCGGTTCCGGAGCTCAGTAGAGGAAAATAGCTGTTTGGAGCGTCAGAGTCGATTTAGAAGCTTTAAAATGAGCTATTTTGTAGTTTATAGTCAGTTGAGTTATTTAGAAGTTAGGAAAAATGATTCAGAACCCTCCAGAGCCAGGAAATTTAAATTTTCCCGATTTTCAGCAACCATCAACATCTCGCAAATCGGCACCAATGCCACAGCGTCAAGCGACTCCGCCACCACAACGTCGCATTGCTCAGCTCAACGAATACTCGAAACTAGCCGCGCAATTGCTCAATTCGATGCCTCAAACCGCTGGCGCCGACACACTTCTCGAGGATTCACGACGTCATCACAAGGCGGAGGCCTTGTTCATTGAGCCCGACAAGAATGCGTTGGTGACGACGGAAAACGTGGCGATTCGTGAGGTGATTCTGGAGGTCAACGGACGAGTGTCGATGGCTGCCGAAATCAAGAGAATGCCAGGCGGTGGGAATGGAATTTTCATGTATGACGGGCTGATGAAAGGCACCACCGGAGAGGATATGGGCAAGAAGCAGGAGTTTGTCTGTATTGAGACGAAGAATAAGTTTGGAAACGCGACGAACGTCACCAGAAGATCGTGTATGCCGAATTGTGTTCTGAAGCATGTGCTAGGCACTCAGGCGACGTTGGGCATAATGATTGTTGCCACGAAGCCGATACCAAGAAACCAGGAGGTCACTCTTCCATTCGACGCCGACTGGATACAATCTGACATCCCTCTGCAGTGTGTGGATCACAGTAACCGTCCAGACCAGATTTGTCCATTTGAACAGGAGCGTGTTCGTGCAGCGCAAACTCGCATGGCGAAAGAGGATCGCGAACGACGAAATGCCGAGGAGAAGCGTCGTGCGGAAGAGGAACGACGTCGTCTGGAGGAGGAGGTTCGTCGGGAGCGAGCCGAGCGTACGAAGCAGATGGATGAGGAGGCTGAGCGAGAGCGGTTGGAGCAGGAGCGGATTGAGAAGGAGAAGAAGGCTAAGGAGAAGGAGGAGGCGAAGAAGTTGGAAGCAGAGAAGAAGAAGAAGGAAGACGAGAAGGCCGGATCGTCGTCTTCAGAAGCTGTGGCTAAGGTGAGCTCCTAGATTCGAAGACCTAGAATCTATATCTCCTAATCTCGAATTTTTTCAGGCCAAGCAAGCCGAGTCGTCTGCATCATCTACCACCGCTGAAAAGTCGTCCACCAAGAAGGACGCCATTCCAGGTGTGAAGAAAGAGGAGACTCCAGAAGATTCTGACGCTGATTCTACCAGTTCTGACAACATCAGACGCCGCACGTCTCGTGTGCACAAAAAGAAGAATTTGGAGATAAAAGAGCACAGCAGTCCAGCGACTTATGGAAAGAGAAGTGAGTTTGGAGCTAGAAAATCTGAAAATTAGCTTGAAATCAGCCTGAAAATAGCCTGAAAACGCCTAAAACGAGCCTTAAAGAGCCTTAAATAGCTATGAAAACCCCCAAAAAGCCTGTCTTAGAGATCTAGACTTTACGCTATTTCGGACCACTTTTAAGTAACTTTGGATCATTTTGAGGCATATTTGAGATCGTTTTGGTCCATTTTAAGGTCATTTTCAGATCGATTATAAGACATTTAGCTCGGTTGTAGGCCATTGACTATTTTTAGGTCATTTGGGACCTTTTCGGACCGTTTATAGGCTACCTGAGGACAATTTTAGCTCATTTTCTGTCTTTTTGAGTCATTTCATTTCAAAAAGATATTAAGCAATTTTGGACTATTTCAAGGCAATTTGAGCCATTTTAGGCATAGCCCCCCAGGGCAGGTCTTCAAGACAGTGTCTTCCTAATCTCAAGTAAACATTGCTCATTTCTTTCAGAGCAAGTCACCATCCCGGCGACCGCTGGCAAACGTCCGCGCACCTCTTCAAGCCAAGCAGACGATCCTGGACCGTCGACGTCGGCAGCTACTGCATCTCCAGCTAACCGAAAACGCGCTCCAGCTGCCACCTCTTCATCATCTTCTACTTCAGCCACTGATGCCAAGAAGCCGAAGAGCAACGACGAATACGCGCTCTCGGAGCTTCGTGACAAGATGACGTCGCTCCTGGAGACTACTACTACCAACAGTACCATGACCGAGTACAAGATTGATCCGAGCTTTATTGAAGGTCGAAGACCGGATTGGATTAAGAAGATGGAGCACGATATGGAGAAGATAAAGGCGGAGAGAGCCGCCGCAACAGCAACGTCGTCTGGAGCTTCGAGCAAGAAGAAGAAGGAAGAAAAACGTTCGGAAGTTGTCAAAGAGGAGAAAAAGGAGACCGCAAAAGCTCCAAAGTTGGAGAAGAAGGAAACTCCAAAAAAAGTAATAGAGAAGGAGAAGAAAGAGGTCGAAAAGAAGAATAAGGATGAGCAATCTGCTGGACCAGCTCCACCAGCACCAGCTAAAGACGCTGTCAAAGCTCCAGAATCCGCCGCTCCAAAGCCAAAAACTCCGAAAGCCGAAACGAAGGCTCCAGTAGCTGCTGTTTCGAAAGAATCTGCTCCAGCTGCTCCGAAAGAGGCTCCTCCAAAGTCAGCTGTTCAAAAAGAAGGATCCGTGTCCACTGAGGGATCTGTTGAGAAGGATGTGGGAGCTCCAGGAGCCCCAGCTGCTGCTGCTGCTCCAGCACAAGTTTCGACGAAGAAGGAGCCGAAGAGATGGTCGATAGACGACTACAAGAAGCGGCCGAAGAAGGAGATTGTGGCTCCAGCGACTGAGACTGGTGCCGGAAGCAGTGCCAGCACGACACCGTCGACCAGCGGACCAGCACCGGCTCGCCGTGGATTCATTCCGAGCACTGAGGGATTGAAGGATGTGAAGGTAGGGGTTAAGAGTCACGAAACTAGCTGAATTTTGTGTAACATTGGCTGACAATCGGTCAAATTTTTGGCTTCAAGTTTGTCACAATTTTGGCTTGAAAAAAGGCCTAAATTTTGACCTGAAATAGGCCTAAATTTTGGCTTGAAATAAGCCTAAGGTTTGGCTGGAAATAGGCATATATTTTGGCCTGAAATAGGCCTATATTTTGGCTTGAAATAGGCCAAAATTTTTGCCTGAAATAGGCTTGAAATTAGTCAAAGTTTTGGCTGGAAATCATATTTCTTGTCCGAGCTACAGTAATCCCACCGGGAATACTGTAGCTTGGATTATCCCAGGACGTGGAAATCACTCAAAATCTCGTTTTCCAGCTCTCGGACATTCCACTCGACGATCATCCATCCAACGCCACCAACACCAACAACACCGCTCCATCCACAACCACCACTACGACTGCTCCAGGAGCCACTGTCGTCAACTCGCCGAGCACTCGCTCGCGTACCCGTGGAGCCGCTAGTGAGAGCGCCGACGACGCGCCAGCCGAGCACAGTATGTCATTGAAGGATCGCATTACTTCGATGTTTGGCGGGATCAATGCTCCAGCAGCAGCACCGACGGCTCAGAAGTCATCTACGTCCAGTGAGTTTTTTTTTTGCAGAAGGAGGTGGCCGAGCTTTAGGGAAACCTAGGCCATTTAAAAATAGTTGAAAAATATCCTTTTTTGGTAAAATTCGGTCCGTGGCCGAACTTTTGCAAGACCTAGGTCATTGAAAAACAGCCTGAAAATACTCAATTTTTCCAAATTTTCAACCTAAAATAGAATTTTTCCTTGTGGACGAACTTTTGCAAAAGCTAGGCCATGGAGAATCAGCCTGAAAATACCCTATGTTTCCCATTATTTTTTGGATAAAATTCAACCTTGTTTCTCGTGGCCGAACTTTAGGGAAACCTAGGCCATTGGAAAAACAGCCTGAAAATATTCAATTTTCAGCCTGAAATCGAGTTTTTTTTCCGGCCGAACTTTGGGGAAACCTAGGCCATCGGAAAAACGGCTGAAAATTGCTCAATTTTCAGCTTAACATCGATTTTTCATCGTGGCCGAACTTTTGTGAAACCTAGGCCACCATCATTTTTAATCCAAAATTCCATTTTAACAATTTTCCAGACGCTACTAATGCCACCACCACTACGCCATCCTCATCGTCCACCACCACCAGCAGCAGCGGCCGCTCGAGAAGCCGTCCAACACGATGGGAGACTAATTAATCTCTGTTTTCTATAGGCTCCGCCCCCATTTTTCTGTTCCCGAAAGTGTCCTTATTATCTTCTTTTATCAGTCTATATTATCTTCTTCTTCGTCTTCCCAGTTATCTTTTCTACACTTGTCTCGTGTCTCGTCTCGCATAACTTTTGAAAATTTTAGAGGTCTGGTACCTTTTTCTATAAGCCCCGCCCACTTTTTTCGGGCTCTTTTTTTATCGAATAGTAATTTTCTCCCCCTGAATTTTTCCTCAATCATTTCCTATAAATATGATCTCCCCCTATCTATATTCCGCGAAATTAACCTCTCTTTCCCCCCATACACGAAATTTCACTTTCTGGCCCCGCCCTCTTTCCATCTCCATTGATAGTTGCCACGTCGTCGTGGTGCTCCAATAGAGACACCATTGACTTTTGAAAATAGTGCATTTTTAGCCACGCCCCCTTTTCTATCTCCCTCCTATGAATCCCATCTATCTCTTTCACTTTTAAAATGAACACAAAACTAAGCCACGCCCTCTCTGGGAGCTCTGCCCCTTTTAATTCCCAATTTTTTGCTTCTTCTTTCTCTTTTTGTTGTTTTGTATCATCCCGAAATCAACCCAATTTATCTATATATAGCTGATCCTCCACTGCACACACCAGATATGGAGATGGGAATAAAAATTTGCTGAAAAGCAGAAAATGGTTTTTTTTGGCTAGTTGCCTGGTGCATCTACCCTCGAACTCCTTCTAAAGGTTCCCTCTACCCACGCAACGACACTCCGCTATCAAGCTCGGCGCGCGCACAGTTTAAATTGAGTTTTGAGAGATTGTGAGCTTGGATTTGGCTCGTAGTTTTTGAGAGACTCTTTTAAGGATTTTAAGTGAGTTTGCTTGAATTCTAAGCTTGTATTGGTTGTTTCTTTCTAACTTGTTCATAATAAACCGATTTTGTTACATTTCTTGTTGATTTTCTTCTATTTTATCACAGGAACCTGATACCCCGGACATACCGCGGGCAATTGGCTGAAAATACGCAAATTTATTATCAAAATTATCAGACAATGAAACAAAAAAAATTAATTTTGTAATTTTAGACAAAAATCACTGTTCTAGCACTTCTAGGGACCGAGATATGACGATTCAAAGTTTGTTGAAGAGACGCAGACAGTTGGAGTGTCTCGTTGTCTGCGTCTCTCACCTTCTAATCTTCAAATGGCTATAAATCGGCTTCTAGATGTCGTTGAGAAGTCGTTTTTGGACAGAACAATTTATGAGAAATTGCATTTTCAGAAAATTCAAGAAATCTTTAGAATACAGTAACCCAGTATGGGGGAAAGAAAATTCAAAAATCTGAAATTTTCAAAAAAATTTTTTTTTGGGTTTTGAAAAAGTTGGAAAAATGTTTTTTTTTTCAGAAAGTCCTCTAATCAATGTTAATGACATCATCATCATCCTCCGCTACTTGGTCCTCCCCCTGCGGGTCCACTTGTCGATGCTCCGCCCTCTGCACAGTCTCCGCCTTTTGATTTGAAGCTCCGCCTCCCCCTCCCTGTTTCTCCATCTCCTTCTGGAATCTTCCATCCTTCAAACGTCTTCTATAATTCACAAAGAAATTCCGAACAGTAGGAAGATCCAAATGTAGTCGGACCGCCAGTTGGGCCATATGTTCTGGTGGGGGATTCGGATTTCTCTTGAACGAATCCACCAATTTCGCTTTTTGGGTATCGGTGAAGACCAGACGGGTTCGAGGGCCGTGTCTGGAAGAAAAATACAGATTTTCAGAAACTTTTTAGGTCCAAAATCACTGTTCTAGCTCTTCTAGGAGCCGAGATATAGTCATTTGAAAAATTAAAAAAGTAACAAATTTTCAAAAAAAATTTTTTTTTGAAAACTTTAATTTTTTAAAAATTTCTAAATTTACAATTTTCCAGAAACTTTTCAGTCCAAAAACGACTGCTCTACGATATCTAGAAGCCGAGTTATAGCCATTTGAAGTCTAGAATGCGAGAGACGCAGACAACGAGACACTCTAGCTGTCTGCGTCTCTCCCCAAAAATTTTCGGGGATCTCGGACAATTTGAAATGGAAATTTTTGCAAAATTTCAGCAAGAATTAATCGAATTTCAAATGAAATTTTTTCAATGTTGCAAAATGTTGCTAAATTAATGTTCGTTTTTCAAAGTGCCAATATCATTTGAAGTCTAGAAGGTGAGAGACGCAGACAACGAGACACTCTAACTGTCTGCGTCTCTTCAGCAAAATTCAAATCGCCTTATCTCGGCGTCTAGACATACTAGAACAGTGATTTTTGTTTTGAATTTTTCGGAAATTTTCGGGGGATTTCATAAAATATAAAATAGTATGTGTTTAGGCAGTTTTGGCATTACTAAAAACATTATTATTTGAAATTCAAAGAATTAAAATGTTTCAAAATGTTGCTAAATTCGTTTTTGTTTTTCAAGTTTTCAGTTTTCAATGATTTTTCAGACAGAAACTGAAATTAAAGATTTTTGAAAATGCAAAATCCCAATGAAGATTCCCTACTAACATTTGAAAACTAAACATGAATTTAGTGATTTTTTGAAACATTCAATTTTTTTTTAAATTTCCATTTTGCATTTTCTGAAATTCCTCAAAAATTTGAAACGTCTCTAGACAAAACTCACTATTCTAGCACTTCTAAAAGCCGAGATATGGCAATTTGAAGTTTGTTGAAGAGACGCAGACAGCTAGAGTGTCTCGTTGTCTGCGTCTCTCGCCTTCTAGACTTTGAATCGCCATATCTCGGCTTCTAGAAGTGCTAGAACAGTGATTTTTGGTCTCAAAATTTAGGAAATTTTGTAAATTTTCTGAAAAAAAACCTACCCTTCCTGTCTTTTTTGCGGATGTGTGATTTGTAGTCCAGTCACTCTAGCCGCATCCTTTGGTGACAATTGGCACAACTCCACTCTCAGATTTTTCTCCAATCCCAACCAATTAATCATTCGTTCGTACGTCTCGGCGCCCCGATTGATTTGATCCCATGGTTTTGGATTTCTGAGAATGTCTGAAAGGGTTCCTTGGCTTCTTCCAAGGATTTTAGTGGAGAATGCGGATTGGGGAATCGAGTTATCCTTTAGATCTTGAGCAAGACGATTGCACAAGTCCTTGGTGTCTACTGTAGTGCCTTCTGGAACCTTGACAGCCATTGCGGCGCAAATTTCTGGAATATTGAATTGTTGGGCAAGGAGATCGGGACCTTCTGGAGCAGCTGGAACACCTAGAGCCCCTGGGACGTCTCTGGGAGGTTGTGGAGGTTCTGGAGGATTGTATGCTAAAACTACTCCAGCTTCTGGAGCAGTACGACGACGAGAATCGGTTTCTGGATGAGCACGTCGACGTGGATTGTGTGTTGGAGCAGCTTGAGAAGCGTCTGGGGCAGCGTGTTGACGATTACTGTAGTTTGGAGGTGCTTGAGCTTCTGGGGGCCGTGGGACGTCTCTGGGAGGTTCTGGAGCATCGTATTCAGGGGCGTCGTATCCTGAAGCATAGTATTCTGGAGCCATTTGTCGACGTGGATTGTATTCTGGACCAGCTTGAGCTTCTGGAGCAGTACGATGACGAGAATCGGATTCTGAAGCCTCACGTCGTCTAGAATTCGATTCTGGAGCAGTCCGTCGACGTGGTTTGTGTTTTTTAGCTCTTTCTGGAGGCGGCGTTCCAGCTTGAGCCTCATCAGAGTCCTCGCGAGGTGAAGTATCTCTATATCGGCTTCGCCGACGCTCCTTCTGATGTTCCCGCCGAGGTTCCTGCCGCGCCGGCGGTGGAGCTGATTCCGACTCGAGTTCCAATTGACGTTTGGTTTCTGGAAATTTCGGAAAATTTGAAAAATTTTAAGAAAAAATTCACAGTTCTAGCACTTCTAGAAGCCGAGATATAGCGATTTGAAGATTGGTGAAGAGACGCAGACAGTTAGAATGTCTCGTTGTCTGCGTCTCTCACCTTCTAGACTTCAAATGACTATAAATCGGCTTCTAGATGTCGCAGAGCAGTCATTTTTAGACTGAAAAGTTTCTGGGGAATTTTATTTCAAAAAATTGTGGAAAGTTTAAAATTTCAAAAAATCGAAATATCAAATACGAAATTCTTCAAAATGCCGAAAATGATACAAGATCTGAGCCCACTTCAACTGAAACTTGAAAAACGAAGATAAGTTTAACAACTTTTTGAAACATAAAAAGTTTTTTTTGGGAAGGAAAATTTTTTTGTTCAAATTCATAACTTTGCATTTTATGAAAATCCCCGAAAAAAGTGAAAAAATCACTATTCTAGCACTTCAAGGAGCTGAGATATGGCAATTTGAAGTTTGTCGAAGAGACGCAGACAGTTGGAGTGTCTCGTTGTCTGCGTCTCTCACCTTCTAGACTTCAAATGACTGTAACTCGGCTTCTAGGTGTCGTAGAGAAGTGGTTTTTCGACTGAAAAGTTTCTCAAGAATTGAATTTTTAAAAATTGCATGAATTTAGCAACATTTTGAAACTGTGAAATTTGAAAAAAAACATCCTGGAACTGTCTGAACACATACAATTTTATATTTTCTGAAATTGCCTGAAAATTCTTAAAATTCAATACAAAAATCAGTGTTCTATCACCTCTAGGAGCCGAGTTATAGCCATTTGAAGTTTGTTGAAGAGACGCAGACAGTTAGAGTGTCTCGTTGTCTGCGTCTCTCACCTTCTAGGCTTCAAATGACTGTAACTCGGCTTCTGGATGTCATAGAAAATTTGTTCTTGGACTGAAAAATTTCTGGGGAATTCTATTTAAAGAAAATTCAAAAAATTAAGAATTGAGAGTTTCAACCATCTTCCAAAAATGCAATATTCTATAAATTTTCCAGTGACACTTTAAAAAATGAACATGAATTCAGCATAATTCTGAAACATTGAAATTTTTTCCAATTATTCGCTAAGTTTTTAGGTTTTTCTAATCTGGATAAAAACTTTTAAGACTGAAAATTTCCACCAAAAAAAAACTCACTAGGCCTATTTGCCTCGTCTGGCCATGCCTCAACTCCTCCTCTCAACAAGTTCTTTTCAAAATGATTGAAGCTAAAATCGAAAGGATCCCATTTCGATTCTCTCGCCGGATTTGGTTTCCGAGGTTCCACTTCATCCATCTCATATTCCTCCTCAAAAAGCTCCGCAATCTTTCTGGTACGCGCCTCCGTCCGTTCTCTTATCACTCGATCATTCATTTCACACTTTTCTTCCAGAGTCAGCGGTTCCAATCCATCCACAATGAAAGCTATACGACATGGAGTTTCAGGGGTTGGGAGTTTCGATACATCGATTCCAATTCCTTTCAGCACTAAATCCAAATTATCATTGGCTGACGCATTTGCATTGAGCTTGTATTTCTGGCCGAGTTTTGTGTTGATAGGACGAAAGGGGACCTGCTGGAAGTTCAGATTTTTTTAAAAGTCAGTAGGTTCTGTGGATTGAATTAAAAAGCTTGAAGTGCACTTGAAAGGACACTTGAAAGACTCAGCTCAGAATAGGTTTAAAATAACTTTAAAAACGCTTAAAGGAAGTTTTTACCGTTCCATAGGATATAGAAAAACGTAATTTTCGGTTGATTTTCAGCTATTTTGAACATTATCAGGGGTCTGAAGGTCAGACCTAGCTTGAACACTTCGCATTCAAAGAACTCTTTTTAGTCCAAAAGTGAGTGCTCTATGACATCTGGAAGTCGAGTTATAGACATTTGAAGTCTAGAAGGTGAGAGACGCAGACAACGAGACACTCTAACTGTCTGCGTCTCTTCACCAATCTTCAAATTGCCATATCTCGATCCTAGAAGTGCTAAAACAGTGATTTTTGTTTTGAGAGAATGTTCAAAAAAATTATTAAAGGAGGCCAGACATCAAAAAAAAAGTTTTCCTGATATTTTGCATAGAGAACCCCCATGAGGGGTTGAACTCATGACAGGCAGCTTAGGGGTACAGCGCTGCTACCGGCTGAGCTACGGGGGCGCGAAGGCGCCTGACGACCGATGGTCTACATAAGCGCGGCGCGATTTCGTCCCCCCAAATGTCCCCCAAAATTTTTGTCTCGCCTCCTTTAAATCAATTTTTTTCAATGTTTCAAAATGTTGCTAAATTCAAATTCGTTTTTTTCAAGTGTCAGTATATAAGATTCTCTTTTAGCGAATTTAGCATTTTCAAAAATTTTAAATTTAAATTTTGACCGAAAAAATTATAATTTCGAGAACAAATTTTATTATGTCATTTATTATTATTTTTTTCAGAAACTTTCCAATTCAAAAACGAGTGCTCTACGACATCTAGAAGCCGAGATATGGCGATTTGAAATCTAGAAGGCGAGAGACAACGAGACACTCGCTCATCGTCCGTTGTGGAATCTAGCATTTTCTAAGACACGGTTCCCCAGAAACGTTTTTTTTCAGAAAGTCCAGAAACGAGTGGGACAGAAAAGTCTTTTATATTGTACTCTGTTGAACCTCCGGTCGATATTTTTTAGAAATTGCGAATTTGGGTTTTTCGCCATTTTTCATGGGTATAATTATGTGGAGCCGTATGGAAGGTGAGAGACGCAGACAACGAGACACTCTAACTGTCTGCGTCTCTTCAACAAACTTCGAATCGCCATATCTCGGCTTCTAGAAGTGCTAGAACACTGATTTTTGTCTTAAAATTTTTGAAATTTTTCTTGAAAACTTTGAATTCAAAGAATTTTTTGAAAATTTCTACCAATTCTCAATTTCATCAAAATTGAGCAAAATTAAGCAACTGGATTCCGGGCGCTTTTGAAAACCCTATGAAATTTGAATTAATGATTTTTTGGAACCAATTTCGGCCAAAAAATTCTAACTGAGACTTGGATAACGAACACGAATTCAGCAACAATTTGAAACATTGAAAACATTTTTTTTTCTGGAAATTTCAAAAAAGTATTCTTCCAGTATTGCTAAAACAGCCTAAATCCCGAAACATTGTTAAATTTTAAGACAAAAATCAGTGTTCTATCACTTCTAGAAGCCGAGATATGGCGATTCGAAGTTTGTTGAAGAGACGCAGACAGTTAGAGTGTCTCGTTGTCTGCGTCTCTTACCTCCTCGACTTCAAATGGCTATAACTCGGCTTCTAGATGTCGTAGAGCGCCCGTTTTTACTTAAAAAATTCTGGAAAATTGTATTTTCAAAAAAAAACCAGAAAAATTACAGTCCCAGTCGTTTTCAAAAATTCAAATATCATGTTTCTATTGTCACTTAAAAACGAACACAAATTTAGCAACATTTTGAAACATTGAGAACATTTTTTTCTGGAATTTTGAAACATTGAGAACATTTTTTTCTTTTTTTTTGTTGAAGAGACGCAGACAGTTAGAATGTCTCGTTGTCTGCGTCTCTCACCTTCTAATCTTCAAGTGGCAAAACTCGGCTTCAGGAAGGGCTAGAACAGTGATTTTTTTTGGCAGAATAGTTTCTGGACACCAGTATTTTCAAGGAATTAAAAGTTGTAAAAAAACACTTCAACTGATTTTTGAGGCCCGGAATTATGATTTTTAGGCCAAAAATTTTTTTAATTTGAACTACGGTTGCTTGCATATTGACACCAGAGAAACGACCGTGAATTTAGCAACAATTTGAAACAGTGAACATTTTTTCTGATATTTCAATGAAAACTTTTCCCAGTAATGATAAAACAGACTAAATTCCAAAATTTTGAAAATTTCAAGACAAAAATCACTGTTCTAGCACTTCTAGGGACCGAGATATGACGATTCAAAGTTTGTTGAAGAGACGCAGACAGTTGGAGTGTCTCGTTGTCTGCGTCTCTCGCCTTCTAGACTTCAAATGGCTATAACTCGGCTTCTAGATGTCGTAGAACAATGGTGTTTGAACAAAATAGTTTACGAAAATTTGGATTTTCAGAAAATTCAGAAAAATTCAGTTCTAGCCTCTGTACTGACACTTGAAAAACGAACATGAGTTTGGCAACATTTTGAAACACAGAAAAAATTTTTGAAAAAAAAAATTGAAACTTGCATTTTTGGTGGAAAAAATTGAAAAAATAGGAAGATTGGGAATTTTTCTTGGAATATTAGATTTTTGGAATTCTGAGAGTTTAGGAAATTCCGAGCTTAACATGCTTATTAGGCTTATTACTTCAAGGTCTAGTCTGAATCCTAAAAACCGAAAAATCCCACCTGCTCTGGCTGTCTCCTGGGTAAACCTTCTGTCTCATCGTCTAACTCTAATGGTGGCTTCATACCAAATCGACGGAATCGAGCGGCTTCCATTTGTCTTAACCTGTCTCTCGTAGTTTGGGTTACTGTAGAAGTGGATGGTCCAGAAGTGGATGGTCCAGCTTGGCCGGCGGAAGACGTAGAAGTACCCGGGTTGGAGGGTCCCGGTTGATTGGGATCAGGAGCAGGGAAATCGGTATGGTCCATATCTTGGCCATCGTCTTCTGAATCGGAATGATCTTCCTGACGGGACGGACCTCCCCGATAGATCGTTTCGTTGTTGATTCGAATTCTCATCTTGAAAAAATTTGAATTCACTAATTCCGCATAGTGGCAGCGACTGACATAGTGGAGGAAGAAAAAATAACGAGACTAATGAAACGGAAAAAAATTAAAATTGCTAAAATTTAGTTCAAAAAATTATTTTTGTACCGAAGAACAGATCATCTTTGTAGTTTTAATAATATTTTTTTTTGGAAATTTTTGTCGAATTCTATTTCTGAAAACTTCCGACAATCAACTTCCGACTCATCGTTCATTACTAACTCATTAATCAGAAATAGATATTGTGAAACTGGAAATTAATTTTTAAAAATTACATTTTCTGCAGAAAATTGTTTATCTGTTTCGAAAAGTTTCTAAAATCTGGAACTCTATGTAAAAACTTTTAGTTATTGTTGTAAATAAAATGTATAAAAATTTGAATTCAGAGGTAGTCTGCTAACGATTGACATAGCGAAGGAAGGGAAAAATGAGATAAATGAAGCAGAAAAAATTTGAAAAATTTGAAATTTTCTGAAAAAATTTTCTGGAAAATTTTACATTTTCGATCCAGGTTTCAGCACAGTTTTCAGCAAAATTTGCTATTTTTATGATATGGTTAAAATCTTCGAAAGTTTCAAATAAATTTTATTGGAATGAACTGAGATGGTATACATCTATTACTAACTTTTTACTGATTAACCAAAAACAGATATTCTGAAACTGCACTTGGGTTCAAGCCAATGGGTCAGAAATCGCGCCCCAGTAAACGGGAGATTTTTAAAAAAATTCGCTGCTGAATTATGTGGCTGAGGATCAAACTTTTTAACGTTGCACGAAAAAATCACGCGTTGCAACTCGTTGATTAAAACTAATTAGGTCAAATCCACGTCGACTTGGAAATTATTAAATTTCTTTTGGCCTAAAAGTTTTTGGGGTGCGTTTTTTGACCCGTTGGCTTGAACCCAAGTGAAACTGGAAAATATTTTTCTTTTAAACTGAAATTCTTAAAAAATGTCTGTTTCGAAAAGATCCTAAGTTCTAGAAGTCTAAAATTCTATATTAGAGCATTTTTCCAATTTTGGAATCTGAAAATCAAATTTAGGTCAAAATCGAATGTAGATGAACAATTCAAAATTCTAATCAAAAATTTAAATTTAACTGACCGTACTAGCGCACTTTGAAATATTCTAAATTTAAAAAACAAAAAAAAACTGAAATTTTAGCGAAATTTTCAGAAAAGTTTGCTATTTTTTCAATTTTATCTCAACATTGAAAGTTTGGCAAAAATTTCATTGAAATGAAGAATGTTTTAAAATTCTTAAAAATAAAAAAAACTATTATCAATTTCTGACTTATTAATCATAAATTATTGCATTAAAATGTTCGAAAAGTTGTATATTTTCATAATATTATAGCGAAAAAAACCTGAAATCCCCGAAAAATGCCGTTTACAGCGAACATTTTTCAAAAAAAAGTTGCTAGGAGGGACGAGGATTTGAATTCCCTCGCAGTGAGAAACCTAGGCCACGGCGCCTGGTAGCCGTTTTTTCAAGTGGCCGACAGTGGTTTTTTACGTTTTTTACCTGCCGGACATGAAAACCGAAAAAATCCAGGAAATTTTCCATGTAAGAAAGGCACTATGATGCCGTGGCCTAGGTTTCTCACTGCGCGGGAATTCAAATCCTTTTTTTTCAACGCAGTTTTTCGGGCATTTAGGATTTTTTTTGCAATAATATTAGGAAAATACATATTTTTTGAAACATTTTGAGGTAATAAAAATTTTTGGTCGGAGTCCCCCTTTAAAAATTCAAGTTCTTAAAAAAATTTGCCTGTTTCGAAAAGTTAAAATCTGGAAGTCGAAAATTCTATGGTTTAATACACAATTTTTCATTAAAACCATACTTGTTACGGGCCGGGCCGGGCTTTTTCCCGAATTTCGGAGGCCCGGCCCGGCGGGCCTGTCATTCCACAAGTTTTGAAAATTAAAAATTCTAAATTTCAAAAAAATGGCTCGGACAGATTCTTTGTGTCGGGGCACCCGACACAAATCGATGACTAAGTCTAGCAACCCAGGAGGGGGGCATCGATGAACGCGGCCAATGCGAGACGAGTAAGTGTTGGCTCCATGAGAGGCGCAGAGTGTTTGGGTGAGAGATCATTGGAATGGAGGAGAGGGTAGACAAGAAAAGGGGCACAAACAGAATACAAGAGATGAAGGAAAAGGAGGAAGAAAGACAGTAAAAAATGGACATCGACAGGAGGGTGGTGGCGGTTGTGACCATCTGGTGGGAAAGAGATGTTTAGATCTACAGTAACGGTCGATAAGATATACAAAAACGCATTTTTCGGTTGATTTTCAGCCTTTAGATCTAGATGGAAAACTTTGAATTCACAGAATTTTTCGAAAATTCCTAGCTTTTCTGCTATTTGCTACTACCCCTCTTGGCCCAAAAAACCGAAATTTATGAATTAATGATTTTTAGGCAGTTTTTCAACTTTGCAGTTTCAATTCTGACGAGAATTTGGAGCTAAATCGAATTCCGAAACAGTTTTTAAAAATTCCAAACTTTGGTTAATGTTTCACAACACCCTGATACGATTTCATTTTCAATATTTAATAGTTCGTAAATTCCAAAAATTGAAAGTTTTCGGCTCCGCCCACTTTTTTTTGACTAGTGGCAACGAATTGTTTTCAATCTTCAGGCGGTTTTTAACTTCGGAAAATTTGGCTTTTCTATTTTCTTTTCTAGACAAAAAACTATTTTCGAGATTTAGAAAAAAAAATTGTTTTTCAGTTTCAGGTCATTCAGAAATATCCAAAAATCGATAATTGGTGATGGAACTAATGGCGAAGACGTTGGTTTTCAAATTTTCCGATTATTTCTTTATCTTGTTCTGGAAAAACATTTTTTCCCCTTTCAGGAAGTTCAGAAATATCAGAAAACCATATAATAATTAGTGATTGAAATGGTGGTTAAGATTGAACAGTTCAGAAACGGAAAAAGAAAAAAACAACTTTTTGTATTTTTCAGCTCAATTTGAATTTAAGAATTTAAGATACCGTAAAACCTCTAATAGAACGACACCCGGATCGTCCACTTTGAGCCTATATATCTCATTTTCTGTGAAAGATATCAAAAAGTGGCTAACTAGTAAAATGTTGCTGATATCCTGATAAACATTTTACTAGTTAACCACTTTTTAATATCTTTCAAAAGAAGTGAGATATATAGGCTCAAAGTGGACGATCCGGGTGTCGTTCTATTAGAGGTTTTACGGTATATCAAGTTATCTTCAAAATGATACCAAATTTGAAAAATTTTCTTTATTTCGAAATGTTTGGGTTACTGTAGCTTTTGAGATCAAGAACAGTTTTCTATAATAATTTTAAAGAAGTTCAAAAAATACAATTTTCAGTTTCAGGAAGTTCAGAAATATCAGTAACTTGAATTATGGTGATTCGCTCGGTTCGAATATTGAACTTCTCAAATTTGGAATTGTAAAAAGTTGATAAATCTTATAAGCATCTAAAATCGCCAATTTTTCAATTAAAATGGAACAAATGCATGTTCAAAATTAGAAAAATCCCGAAAAATAACTTTTTTTCAGTCAGTTTCAAGAAATGCAGAAATATCAAAGAATTGCAATAATTGGCGATTATAATGATTATAATTTCGGTAATGGTTGAACAGTTCAGAAATTAAAAAAAAATCATACTTTTCAGAAATGCCGAGTATCTGATAATCTTAAATTCATAAAATTTTTTTCAATAAATTCAAAATTGCCATCTCTTCTTTTAAATGGCTTTTTGGGTCATTTCATGGAGTACCATATCTCTGAAAATTTCTGACTTCTTCAAAATAAACCCAAATTCAACTATTCTCTGATGATTTTGAAATTTCCGGATTACTGTAGCTTAATGTGGTTTTGGGGACAAAACGAGTTTTCAAATTATAGAAATTTTTGAAAACAAATTTTTTCACTGTCAGGAAAATCTGAAATATCAAACAATTTAATAGCTCCATTTCCATTTTCTAGACAAACCTAGGCAAAAATGACTATTCTGAAAAATTTTAGCAAATATTGAAATTTTTTTCATTTTCAGGAAGCTCAGAAATAAAATCCAATATTTGGTGATTCGATAAACAGGGGTTAATGACTTTATTAGTTGAAAAAACATTTAAAATAATCAAACTCAAAAAAAATGATATCTGAAATTCCGGGAATCTGAAAATACTTGATAGTTTCAATTTTTCAAAATCTTTCCGATTTTCAAATGAAAAAAATGTCGATTTCCATCCCCAATCAAATTCTTAGGTCATTTTTTAAAGTTTTTTACAGAAAAAATGTATCTCCTCTTTCAGTTTTTGACATTTCTAGGAGTTCTATAGCTCAAAAAAACCGCAATTATTTTCTCTACATTTTCTATGGATGAATTTTTAATTCGTCTGATAAAACTTTTTTTATAGTCAAAAAACAACGCAAAAATGCTATTTTGTGCAATTTCATGATGTTTTTGAATTATAAAAAAAGTTTTATCAGACAAATTGAATATTCATCCATAGAAAATGTAGTGAAAATAATTGCGGTTTTTTTGATTCGGTTTTCTCGGTTCTTGTAAAAGATATCAAAAAGTGGTCAACTGATAAAATGTTTGTTATGTTGTGATAAACATTTTATTAATTGACAACATTTTGATATCTTCGACATGAATTGAGATAATAAAGCTCAAAGTCGATGGTTTTGGACTTCTTATAGAGAAAATACCCCTTTCCCCGGAAATCTGCTCTCCCGCCAAACATTTTCCTATTGTTCAACTTGGACACATTTATCTCTTCCCCAAACCAATTGAGATTCTAATCTGTATTCATAAAAATGAAGACGTTCCTCTTCTTCCTTCCCCCTCTCTTTTGGTCCCTCCTCTCATTTCCGACGACCATCTGTTGCTATTCTATTATTGTTATAATACACTATTTGGAATACATTTTCTAAACAGATTGTTTCTAGGAAATATAGAAATTGGGTTCTAGAATTTGCCAGAGTTTCGAAAAGTCTTTTTTGGAATTTTCAAAAATTTCCTTTTTTTTTGAAGAAAAATTTTATTTCCTCAACTTTGAGCTCATATATCTCGATTCCTGTGAGAGATATTAAAAAATAGTCAACTGATAAAATGTTTATTATCAGTAACATTTTTTTAGTTGACAACTTTTTGATATCTTTCATAGGAGCCACGATATGGGTTACATCAATTTCTAAACTTTTTATTTTTCCAATCCAAATCTGAAAATTATGAAAATTTTCTATTTAAATTAATGAATAAATTCTAAAAACAAAATTAATATACATCAAGTTCCCCATTTTATACAAATTAATGTTTAGAATGTATAATTTTTACCTAGTTTTGAATAATTTACCTATCCTCATTAAGTCTCATAATAATGCTCATACCTTATAAACCCATGATTTTCATGATTTTACACAAAATAACTGAAAAAAAAACGTAACTTTTCAAAATATGAGACAGCTTCGTCTATCATTTTTCAAAGTTTGGCTGCGACGGATCAGTGACGGCTTGTTGGCGACTCTTAGAGAACCCCAACTTCCAGCCAGTTTATCTCTTTTCTGAAAAAGATAACAAAAAGTTGTCAACTGATAAAATGTTTATCATAATATTAACAACATTTTATCAGTTAACCACTTTTTAATATCTTTCACTGGGACCGAGATATATAATCTCAAAGTTCGGCTGCGAAATTGTCAAAGAATGAAATGTTTATCATGATATCAGCAGCATTTTATTAGTCAATCACTTTTCGACAGAAATCAAGATAAAGGGGCTCAAAGTTGGCGGCTTGGGTGGCGTTCTATTAGAGTGTTTACGGTAGTTTACAGATTTTTGAAACTGTAAAATTTTGGAATTTTTCCTGTTTCACATTTCTCTAAAAATTTTTGATCGCTGAGAACTTGGTGCGCGTTTTGGAGAGTTTCAGAAAAAATGAGATTTTCTGAGACATTCATATTTTTTATTCTAAATTTAGTATTTTTATCTGAATAACAATTTTTATTTTGAAAATCGACATAACACATTGGATTGTCGTTTAATAAATTTCTTGATATTTCTGAATTTTCTGAAACCTGATTTTTTTTTGAAAATTCTAATTTCTTGAAGAAATGTTTTTTGTTCCTCAAATATACAGTAACCCCTGAAATTTCGAATGGTCGAGAAAATTTTGAAGCTCTAAATGTGCTGAAATTGCATAAAATGTCAATTTTCAAAATTTTTGGAAAAATAAATCTGAAAATCGAGTTTTTTAAATTTCGATTTTTTTCAATTTTCCCAAAAACTCATTTTTTTTGCTTTTCTGACTTCAGATTTTCCTGACTTCAGATTTACAGTAACCCGAAAATTTCAAAATGAACGGAAAATCGTCGAATTTGGGCTCATTTAGAAGCTATTGATGAGCTGAACTCGATTTTGATGATGAACATTTTTTTCCTGAAATTTTCAGTCATTTTCAGAGTCATATCAAATTTTGGAAAAGTACTTTAACCACCAGCTGGAACTGTCACCATCCCAATGTCGGCTACAGCTTAACTCGGATTGAAATTATCTGAAGTTGTTAAAAAAAACTTTCTTATCAATGAAGTCACTATTGATTATTGAACTTTTGAATATTTCTGAATATTCTGAAACTGAAAAATTGTTTTTCCAAGATTTCGAAATATTATTTGCTTCGCCTAGTTTTGTCTGAAATTTTTCGAAACTTCAAACTCAAAAAAAGTGGGCGGAGCCTTGAATTTTGGAACGATTGAATATTTCAAAAACTTGAATTTTTTTCGAAAAGTTATGAAACATTGAAAAAAATTTTTTTTGAATTTTTCTAAATTTTTCTTTTTTAGTTAATTTTTTTTTTCATTTTCAACGCGCCAAACGCGCCCCAGCTCTTCTAGGAAATTCTTCTAGAAAATTGAAAAAGGGTCACTTGTCAGTTTGAATTATCAAATCTGTCCCTCATTTTTCATTTTCCTTCGTTTCCCTCTTCTTCCGATTTTCCCCAAAATATTCTATTGTCTCTTTTCTCCTTTTGATACCCTGGGGACCTTCCTCGAGGGTTACTGTAGCAAATCTTTGCATGAGCAATGGGCGGAGCTTACAATTAGTCTTCTTTTTTAGGAATGATTTACTTTAAAATAACTAATTTCTCAAAAAACCGAAAAATTTCGATTTTGAAAAATCAAAAAAATTTCGTGTTTTCTGGAAATTTTGGAATTGTGATTATTTTTTGTTTGAAATTTTCTGAAATTTAAAAATTGTTTTTTATCCCAAAGTATTATTTCAGGAAATTTCGAATTTTAAGCTGAGCAATCAAAAATGGAGAAAATGAGCAACAGGATGGGTTTGACGGAGCCTGGCGTTCGACTTTCCATTAATTTGAGGGAGAGGTAAATTTGAAAATTTTTGAAAATTTTCACTTTTTCAAATTTTTGATATATTTTGGAAAAGCATTATTTTTTAATGATTATGTAAAAAAAATTAAATTCTATGCGCCTTTTAAAGTTTCCATTCATAAAATAAAGCTTAAATGATTATATTTTGAAACATCTGGAAACATTAAAGGCACATGGAAATGAATGGCTGGTCTAATGAGTTGCCTTTAAATAAATCTTTGTTTGAATCATGAAAATTCTCGAAAACTATTTTTAAGAATCAAAATTCCCAACACTTTCGGTTTTTGAAAAATTTCGAAAAAAAATTGTTTTTTTCAGTTTTTCAAGTTTTTGATATATTTTTAAAGAAAATTTTAATCTCGTTAATCCTTTGATATCATCATTACAAATAACAATCACCAGATTCTGTATGTGCGTATGTATGTAGCGCACCTTATCACTCATTCAAAGTTAACCGATCAAGCTGAAACCTGGACAGATAGATCAGAATTGTGTCTTAGTTGATGCCCAAAGTTTTGGTTTTTCGAAATTTTGATTTTGAAGTTTTCTGGAGACGTTCATTGATTTCACCACAGTAAAGGGTGATAGGCAGTAAGGGGAAAGTGGGAGGAAATCCCACACACGTGTACGCCATTTTTACCTTTAAATCACGGGTACTGTAACCGGAGGCCAGGAGGTTCATCCCCGAAGGGGTGTAAACCGACTGGTTTAAACCATACTTAGGGACCACAACATTTTTTTCAAACTGTTTTTTGCTGAAATCTTTTTATTTTAAATTAATCCCCTCTTCCTAATTAGCATATTTCCAAAATTTCGTCTACAAATATTCGCTCATTCCCGAGTTACAGCCCATTTGGTGCTCCTCATTTTTCTCCATTTTCTCCGCGAGTGGGTGGGGCGTCGCCGAGGCAAGACTGCCGCGCGGAAAAATAGCGAATTAATTCTCGAGCCATTTTCTGCGGAAATTTCGGTTTCAGACGGCTAAAGACAGAGAAAAACGTGTCGGAAAGTGTGGAAAATTTTGAATGTTTTAATTATGATACCTAACCTAATTTTACGAATTTTCGTCAGAAACTGGTTCGAATTGAGAAAAAAAATAGAAAAATTCCAAAATTGCTAAGCAAAAACTAATTATACATGAAGATGAATAGAATTAGAAAAAAAAATTTTTTTTAAATCGAGAATAAAAATTTAAAATTTTGAAGATGTCGCTGTGAATCGTGACGAACTCGAGAGAAGAGGCTCTGCCTGAAATATGAATAAAATTATATATTAATTCAGAAAATAGGAATTTACCTGATTAACTTTCTTGTCTTTCTTTGAATTTTCTAGCATCCAGTTGTTTTTTTGACTCCTGAAAGCAGCACTTTCAATAATTCAGTTTTTTTCAACAAAAAGTTACCTGTGAACATCGTCTGTTTTTGTCTCCGAAGTACTTGTCTGAAAAAATACTTCAAAAATTGAAAGAAGGCAATTTTAAAACAAAGGTTTTTGGAAAAACGGCAAGAAAAATAGTTTAGAAAACACATTTAAAATGAGTGTAGCACGCGCCGCATGACACGCAGCGCCTTCAAATTCCGGCCAAAATCTGACCATTGACCGTCCCACTGTTGCCAGTGGGCAGCTTCTGACCAAAATCTGACCAAGATCCGTCCAAAAGCCGAACCCCCTCAACTTCCGTCCAGAAGTCGCAAGCCGACAGCCGCGTGGTGTACGGTGAAACTTTTTATTGCATCCAAATGTGCAGAAATGCATGTAGGTTGACATAAAAATAAAGAAAAAATTCAAAAAAAAATTCCTTCGAAAAACGCATCGAAAAATACGCTGAAAGCCCTTAGGGACGAGGTTTTTTCTAGGCCGCCCGGTGAGTAAAAGCGCGCGAATTCAAACTTTTAAAATTTTTTCACTCGTTTTCACTG